TACATGTTCTGGAAGAGATGTGTGGGTGGCTGCAGGTGTCACAGTACATGATTTCTGCAAAAACAACAAGGGTTGTTTTGAAGAAAACTTACACAAATAGGTGTTAATACATAAACAGTCATACATCAGCTAGGCATTTTGGAGGCAGTCCCAGATTTGGGATTAGTCAGAAGTTACATGCTGGATTAGCATTTAAAATAATATCACTCTTGAACTCACAAATGACATTCTCTGCCTCTTGTGACAGTTTTTGACTTAAAGTCTAACTTTCCTAATATAAATATAGCCACCCCTGCTCTCTTTTTGTTACTACTGCATGGAATACCTTTTTCTGTCTCTTTACTTTAAACCAATGTGTGTCCTTAAATCCAAAATAAGTCTCTTGTAGGCATTGCATAGTCAGATTTTGCCTTTTTAACCATTCAGCCACTCTATGTCTTTTGATAGGGGAGTTTAATCTGTTATCTTTTAAATAATCTTTTGGCAGGGAAAGACTTATTATTACTATTTTGTTGTTTTTGGTATGTCTTGTAGTTCTCTTGTTATTCTTTTCCTCTTTTCCTTTGTAACATTGGTTTCTTTTTTTCTTGGGTAGTGATATGCTTTGATTACTTTGTCTTTTGTGTGTGTGTTCTATAGGTTATCTGTGGTTATTATAAGACCTACGTAAAACACTTTATATTTATGATAGTCTATTTTAAGCTAATAACAGCTTAGCTTCAATTGTATGCTTTTTACCTTTACTTCTCCCTCTTCCTACATTTGTTATTACCAATGCTATAATTTGCAAATTTTATATTGTATATCATTAACATTTTTGTAGTTATAGTTTTAAAAAGTAATTTAACCTTTAGCTTTTATACTAGAATTAGAAGTGATTTACATATCACTGTTACAATATTATGTATTTTTCTATATGTTTACTTTTGCCTGTTTTATACTTTCATGTGTTTTGTGTTGCTGTTTAATTCTCTTTCATTTCAACTTGAAGAACTCTCTCTCATATATCTTGTAAGGCAAGTCCAACGTTTATAAACTCCCTCAGGCTTTTTTTGTTGGGAAAGTCTTTATCTCGCCTTCATTTTTGAAGAATGATTTTGTAGGGTACAATATTGTTGCTTGGTAGTATAAAACTGAAGCTGTTTGCATGAAACGGACATGAAAGAAAAATATTTAAAGATACGTTATGGAATAGTGGGTTCTCCAACTTTTCAGTCTCAGGACATTTTATCCTTTTAGAAATGATTGAGGACTCCAAACAGTTTTAATTTATGAGGGTAATATCAATGGTTATATTTTTGAGTCAGAGTCTCACTCTTGTAGCTCAGGCTGGAGTGCAGTGGCACACTCATGATCACCACAGCCTCGACATGCTGGACTTAGGCAGTCCTTCCACCTAGCCTTCCAAGTAGCTGGGACTACAGATGTATGCCACCATGCCTGGCTAGTTTTTGTGATTTATTGTAGAGACGAGGTCTCACCAAGTTGCCCAGGCTGATCTTGAACCCTGGGCTCAGGCAATCTTCTGACCTCAGCCTCCCAAAGTGCTGGGATTACAGGCTGAGCCACCATCCTCGGCCCAATAGTTATATTTTTAAAAATAATTATTATTTGAAAGAGTACTGTGGTTTTTCATTTTTGTAAGTCCTCTTGTCTGGCTTATTGAAAGACATAGATTCTTATATCTGCCTCTGCATCCCATCTGCTCAATAGCACATAACCTCTTGTATCTGGAAGCTCAATTGTACATTTCTGGGATAATTAGAGTAAAAAAGCAAATTACATCTTCGTGATTTTTTAAAAAATAGTTTTCACCTTGTAGTTTCTCTAAAAGGATATTAAGAACTCTCCATGAGCCCCAGAATAGACTTAAGAACCATTGTTTTGGAGGAATAAAGATTATCTCAGAAGAAAGACTGATATACCAACAGGTTTCATGAGCAGAGAAAATGGTAAAAAAAAAAATAAACTAATGATCGCCGGAGCCCAGCAGGTCGAGGCTGCAGTGGCTGGGAGCGGCCACTGCACTCCAGTCTGGGCGACAGAGTGAGACTCCAACTCAAAAAAAAGAAAAATAAGACAGAACAAGCCCACAAGTAAATCTAGACAAATTTTGTCCGTAAAATTATTTCAATGTTGTTGATAAGTATGATGATTATATTAAGTTTCTGGTGTTTAAACAGAGTGCTAAAGTATTAAAGAGTAATAATAAATTAAGAGAAGATGATAAATTAGTGTCCTAAGTTTCTTCTATTGTTTAGGAGAAAGGCTCATATGCTAACTTTAGACTTTTGTTATGTTTGCATGATAGGATTTCTAGCACACCTTCCCAAACAATATAACTTTCAAACCAATAGAGGGAAAAATGGAACAAGATAACAAAGAAAGTAACAAGATCTTAATTTGCAAAGACACAAAAGGTGTTTGCAAAAAAAGTATTTACACAAAGACCAAATAGTTATACAACTAATGCACTAAAAACAAGTCCTAATATATTAATAAATATAATAAAAGTAAACAGACAAAACTTGGCAATCAAAAGATAGAAATTAGAAGATTTAGACTGGGTGCAGTGGCTTATGCCTATAATCTCAGCACTTTGGGAATCTGAGGAGAGAAGATTGCTTGAGCCCAGGAGTTTGAAACCAGTCTGGGCAACATAGCAAGACTTTATCTCTACAAAAAAAAAAAAAAAAAAAAAATTAGCCAGACAGGGTGACATGACCTTGTAGCCCCAGCTACTTAGGAGGCTGAGGCAGAAGGATCACCTGAACCCAGGAGGTTGAGGCTACTATGAGCCATGATCATCCCAGTGCACTCCAGCTTGGGTGACAGAATGAGAACCTGCCTCAAAAATATAAATAAGTAAATAAATAACCAGATTGGATAAATAACTCCTTTCAGTTGTACATTGTTTTAGAGTAACACATAGTTTAAGAACTTGGAAAAGTTAAAAACAAAGAAGTCAAATTAGATACGAGGAACATCATAACCCAATAAAAGCTACTGTAGTTTAGTTGTGTATTAGGCAAATAGACATCAAGTCAAAAAAAGAGATTGAAAAGAGGATTACTACATAATGATAAATATTTCCATTAACCAGAAAGATGTAATAATTTTAAATTTGTGAGAAACTAACAAAATACCTTCAAAATAAATATTTAAGCAAGATTTGATATAGCATAGGAAAAGTGTTATAAATTCACTGTCATGGGAAAGATTTCAAACACCTCCATTAATAATACATATGTTAGCCGGTCTCGGTGGCTTAGCCTGTAATCCTACGCTTTTGGGAGGCTGAGGTGAGTGGATTGCCTGAGCCCGCAGGTGCGAGACCCCCCTGGGCAGTGAGACCTCATCTCTACAATAAATTAAAAAAAAAAAAAAATCAGCCAGGCGTGGTAGCGCATGCCTGTAATTCTGGCTACTTGGAAGGCTGAGGCGGAAGGATCGCCGGAGCCCAGCAGGTCGAGGCTGCGGTGGCCGGGAGCGGCCACTGCACTCCAGTCTGGGTGCAGAGTGAGACTCCAACTCAAAAATAAATAAATAAATAATAATAATAATAATAATACATATGTTTTTTATTTTGACAAATATCATATATTACAGAAACCTAACATATTTAATCCTTCTGAGATTTCATTCATTTCAATAATATTATTGGATAGTGAATATAATAAATATTAGTTCTCCTAATTGCTCAGTTACACAAGTAATATATAATCAACTTTTGTGAAAAATTCAACATAAAAAATTATATAGACTAAAATCTCATAATTCTTTTTCATGTCCCACTTAGAATATAAGACCACTTTTTTCTCCATTTGGATAGGCAATAAATCCTACTTGATTAGAGAAATAATTTGCTGCTCTTCTTCCCCTTAGTGTAAAGACCACCTTTATTGTGAACTAAATGTCAGTGTCTACTTGTGTCTATTTGTGTCTTTTCTGTCACTATATTATTTTTTGAATTCCTAGATCAATATTATATGTTTCAAGCCTCAACATCATTATAAATTATAATAACAGGTAGTGAAAGTCACTATTGTTGCTCTTTATAAAAATATTCTTGTTTACTGTGGCACATTTTTCCTTTTCAGTGAATTTTAAAATTGTCTAGTTAACATCATCAAAAAAAATCTGTTTTTAGACCTAAATTTCTAAATTATCACAGCTATAGAAAGTTACTGTTCTTTTTCATTGTGCAATCAACTTTATTTGATTCCAAGATAGACATCCTTACAAAAAGAGACTAGTAAATAACTAGTCTCACTAGGATCTGGATTGAGACTTCTAATTGTAATTATGATTTTACTACCTATAGACTTTATCACCATACTTAATGTCTTTAGACCCATTTTTCTCTTAATTCCTCAGGGATATTATTAGCACCTAGGTAGGGTAAGTTTAATTTGTTTCTGGTTGTAGGATGCCACAATAATTACCTCAATATGTCCTTCATGACTGGTCCTAATTAATTATATGAATAAAAGATTATAAGTAATCGACCACTCTCTAGGGACAGGAAGAAAAGACACAAAAATCTTAAGATACTTCTTATAAACAATGGTTCATTCAGAAGATGGAAGGTGATTTTTTTATGAGGTGCTCAGGGCTTCTGGGGTAAGAAGAAAATTAAAATCTCAACCTCCAGCTCCCTGAGCTTTGGTAGTGTGAGCCAAACCCTAGTAAAAGAGGAAAGAAAGAAGCAGGTTAAGTAAAATTCATTGGGTAGATTACACAGAAGCCTCAGCCTCAAGACAAGGGGAAGAGAACCTGTTTTTATTAAGACTTTGGCTAGGGAGGAAAGCCCCTCAGCTTTCACCTACCCTGGGACTGTTACATTTGGCAAAACAAGAGCCAAGAACATGAGGTTCTATCAGTCACAAGACACCAACGTGGCCTAAACAGGAACCTGAGTCAGCAGGGTTACTGCAGAAACATTCAACAAATTTCATTGGTCAGAGTAGGCAGGACCAGTCCTTGCTAAAAATGTATGGTAAGGAGAAGCAGCAGCAATTGTTCAGGGTAGATTTCAGATATCTCCAGACAGCTGTACAACTGCGCCTCTAGGGAGAAGAGATTCTTGGAAAGCAGGTCATAACAGGTAGGCAATGGCTTTCATTCTACTAAAGGCATGCAGGTGCTAGTGTGATTATTGGAAAATGAAAAGAGTGTGCTGTGATGGTATTTGTACCTTGAGTCAAAGTAATACATTATACTACTAACGTAAGCGTAAAAGAAAAAAAGGTAATATAAACTACCCACCAGTTTTTTCACAGAGTAAATTCTCCATCAACTTTAGTCATTTTTACTTTTACTATCATTATTATTACTGTTCTTTCCTGGACCTTGATTCATTAGGTGCTAACAAGAGAAATTTATTTCATTAGCTGCGTGTATGAAATGTAGCTGATCATTGTTCTTGCTTATTTCACAGTCGTTCGTTGTTTGTTATGTAGTTTAATGAGTACTTTGATCACAATTGGGCATTCTCTTTCACATTTAGTCACCCTGATCAGACCTGTAAAAGAGGAAACTTTGAACTTTTAAAAAAATTCCATATTATTGTGCCATTTGTTTTCTCCTTTCCAGGAACTTCAAAGGACCTCCCCACTGAGCTGGCACCATGCAACTCTTTTACCCTCTCATCTTAGTTGTCTTCTTCATCTCTCAAGTAATGCCAGGTAAACCCTATTTGGCATCTTCTTTTTAAGTTGTTCCACTTTTTTTTTTTTTAATTTTTTATAAAAGGATATTCGTGGTTATCCTAAACCAGCAGAGGATGGAAAGATGAGAAAAGGGGGGTCTTTCAAGTGCTTCATGGTGTTTGCATCTTTAGGCTGCCTTCCCTTGAGGCACTATGAGAAAACACTGAAGCGTATGAGGGAAGGATGAAAAAAACCTCAAAACGATGACCTGTTTTCTTGTCTAGTTGATAACTCCTTCATAAATCTCCCTTTTCTTAAAACTGCCACCGATTGATATGTCTTTGAGCTGACAGTAATCTCTAAAGTTCATCTTTGAGCTGATAGCAATCTCTAAAGTTCATCATTTTCTTCCAAGAGACATTGTGTATAATAACTTTATCAAAGCAGGAAAAGAGGAAGCTTAGAGGCTTTTTTAGAAGGAGGCAATCCATACATTTAGAGCCACAGGATGGTGGAGGAAACTTAGAGACAGATTCCGCTTCATATCTCGAGCAAGGGATGGCAAGGATGAGGTGAGGGAGAGAGACTGGGGTTGGACTTTCTGCCCAGTGTCACACACTGGGCTGCATGTCACAGCAGAGCTTGGAGGGCTTTAGAGGACTTCAACTTCTTGATTTGAGGGGAGACACCATGAGGGCTGGGCACATCCCTGAGAGTTTGAACCTTACTTCCCGGCATAAAGTCATGAGTCATCCATCCACCTTGGTCCTCCAACTCTCTTGCGTTTCCTCCAATATTATGTCTTTATATCTAGAAATCCATCTAATAAAATATTCCCTTTCTATATCTCACTGCTCAAGTTTCGTTGGGCCTTCCAGAGTGCCAATTTACAACACTGATAGCTAATGAGCAGAGGAGACAGGAGCTGGGGGAAACGCTATGCTCCCTCTACCACAGATCTCTGTCGTCTTTGGGTTAACAAGAGCCTGTGCACCGTGAACCCTGGGGGGTTGGAACAGTGACCTCAAACCAGTCTCACTGAGTTAATTTTTAGAGAGTGGGTTATGGTGGACTATGGGAAGAATTAGAGAGAGAACTTCCAGGACTCTTCACCATGAAACTGTCGGTTACAGTACTGGGATGTTACTTATCCTTATGGATAGGTGACTCAAATGTCAGAGTTTCTTGGTCATATCTAGAGTTACTATGCTGAAGCATAGGATAGGGCTGGGGGACTCTCATTATGGCCTCAGCCATTTGGCGTGAAGGTAGGGATACTCAAATGGATGATAAGCATTACAAAAAAGCTCTCTGCTAAAAGCACAGCTCTAAGTACTTCCCTTGAAGCACATGGATTAAATGGTGAAGGTCGAATCAAGTGGAAACAAGGCCAAGGTCGGTGAGTGGGATGATGCCCATTGAGAGGGTTCTTGCCTCCAGCCCTGGTGCTGACTTCCACAGAGGGTAGGCGTGGCCCTCACAGCCAGCCTGAGGCCAATGAGAGCCACCCTGGTGACCTTCATAGCCTGGGTTCTAAAGATGACCTCTGCTGATGACTCATGGTTTGCAAACTGCACTCAGAGACCCCTTCAGCCCTGCCCTCACAGAGGAGGTAAGGCTTTTTCTCTCAACCTTCTAATACACTGGAGAAGAAGCCTTATTTGGGCCTGGATTTGGTTAGAGTGGGATTTGCTATTTCTCTTTTAGAAATGCCTCTCACCTCTGTTGGTGCCCTTCGGGATTATCAGTTCGTTCCTTTTTAGAGCTTTATTCTTATTTTTAAAGATGCATCTGATAAATCCTGGACACGGGATTATGTAGAGGGTTGGTTGCTGATATTCCTCAAATGGTGTAGGGCATATTGTATGAGTCTGCTCTGATTTGAATAAATATGTATGTCTTGGTTCAGGCAAGGGGCTGGAGTATCAGCTTGGTTTCAGTAGAATCCTGTCCCAGAGAGATAAAAATACAAAATGTTGATACATTGCTTCTAAGCAGCATTATTTGACAATTCCACTATAACAGATTTCAGAAGGCCTATCTTCAATTGACCCAAGAGGAATATTTGAAGTCTCTTGTTTCATCCTTCATAACACCTTCAAAAATTTCTATTCATAAAAGCACTTGAAAATTGATATTTTCTTCCTGCTTAACAAAGAGGTAAGAGAGACAAGGTAGAGGAGAGGAGGTGCAGGCAGCAGAATACTTTCATGACCAAGAGGTTTGTGGGATTCCTGGTTGAACTGAATTATTTCTTCCCCTGGATAGGGAGGGGAGCTTGATTTCTGCCTAACCCAGGGTTTTTATTCTTTCTACAGATTGTGAATTCTCTGAAACATATCAATATTGCCATGCACGTGGAGGTGTGTGCCTAAGGAGGAAAAATAATTGCATTTTTCGCATGGCAGGGATATGCCCTGGAAGGAGCTTCTGTTGTAGGAGAACGAAGTAAATGGAGAAGTTCATGTTTCATATAGTTACTTTGAATTACATTAAAAGGCTGAGAAACTCATTGTAGCGTTTTATTCATCCATTGAGTCATTTTGTCAACAATTTGTTGAGCACTGACTGTGTGTCAGGAACTGTATGGTGACTGAGGATATAACTCAAGATCTTTCTTGCTAAGAGACTTACAAACTTGGAAATCTTATCTAACTGAGGGGGTCAACATATCTTTCCAGAGAGTGACATATCTGAAATGAGTATTAAAAAATGAGTATGCCTAACCATGAATTGTACCCCACATCTTTAAAATTAAAAAAATTATGATACTGTAAGAAAGGGATTGGCGCTAGTGGGACACTGCCAGTGGAGGGAGAGACACATAACATCAATATGGGTACCCACACTTTACCTGACCACATATGTACCTGACCCTGAATTTTTAAAATAAAACAAATTTTAAAATATTTAAAATAAGACAAATTTTAAAAATGAGTAAGAATTATCCAAGGGAAGTAGAAATGGCGTAAGCATGTTCCAATGAAGAGAACAAAATGGGAAAAGGCATCATGCCTGAAACACGCCTGCTGTCAGGTTAGGAGTGGATTGAGAGCCAGGGTGTATAAGAGAGGCAACGAAGGAAAGAATGGCCAATGGATGGGGGACTTTAGGATCTAAATGAAAGGAGTTTGATTTTATTTTTTTAAGCTATAGGGAAACAGTGAAGAATTTTCAGTGGAGGTGTCTTGGAGAGATTGGAAGGTGGAGAGACCAGACGCACAGAGGCTGTTAGGGGAGTATATGCAATGACAGAGGTGCAAATGTTTGGGTTATAGAGTGTGAATTAAGACAGTGCCAGAGGCATGGTGGGGAGGTTAGTTATTTAAAAGATACTTGAGAAGTAGAAGCATGAGCGTTTGGTCAATGGAAGTGGAAAGTAAAGAAGAGGAAGATTTCTGTTGTCTGACTCACTGGGTGATGAAGAATTCAGGAAATTGTGGCATCCCTGACCTAGAGTTCAAAAGAGAGAGCAAGGATAGAGAAGGGGTTTATGAGATATTAGAACTCATATGGGTGATAGCTGAAGCCTCACTCACACGTGAGCACGTGGGCAGAGGAAGAGGGCATTGGCTGGGACAGACCCCACTGGACACCAACACCCAAGGGGAGGGCATAGGCCAGGCATCCAGCAGACACTGACGAGCAATAGTCAGAGATGAAAACCGCACTAGCAGCTAGAGATGCCAAGAAAGCCTGGAGAGGAAGCTGGAATTCAGCCAGAGCGTTGAGATAAAATCTGTGGTAGCTTCACCTACAGCCATTCTAGTAAACTATTTCCATTCTAACAACATGATAATCCATTTAAAATCATCATAGAGCCGGGCTCGGTGGCTCAGCCTGTAATCCCATGCCTTTGGGAAGCTAAGGTGAGTGGATTGCCTGAGCCCGCGGGTTCGAGACCTGCCTGGGCAGCGAGACCTCATCTCTACAATCAATCAAAAAATCAGCCGGGCGTGGTAGCACATGCCTGTAATTCCGGCTACTTGGAAGGCTGAGCAGAAGGATCGCCGGAGCCCAGCGGGTCGAGGCTGCGGTGGCCAGGAGCCGCCACTGCACTCCAGTCTGGGTGCAAAGTGAGACTCCAACTCAAAAAAAAAAAAAAAAAAATCATCATAGATCTCTAAAGGTAAAACTAATCTGATTACAATTCCAGCTCTGATGTCTGTTACAATAATCATGTTCAACTTGAATCTAGGCCAGTAGATGTTGCTCTTTGACCTCTGATTTTCTATCCACCTCGATAACATAAATGCACTGTTTTCAATGGTGGGATTTTTCCTGATTATCCTCAGGTTAGGGAGAACAAGCACCATAGCATGTTTCACACATTTTGGAGCTGCCCTCACTAACGGATTTATTAATACCTCAATGAATAAAAAGCCCTCTAGCCGGGCTCTGTGGCTCAGCCTGTAATCCCGCGCTTTGGGAGACTTTGGATTACCTGAGCCTGCGGCTTTGAGACCCGCCTGGGCAACTTGGCGAGACCTCATCTCTACAATAAATTAAAAAAATTACCCGGGCATGGTGGCGCCTGCCTGTAGTTCCAGCTACTTGGAAGGTTTGGAGGGAGGGATCACCTGAGCCCAGCAGGTCAAGGCTGCGGTAGCCAGGAGCACGCCACTGCCCCCTAGCCTGGGTGACAGAGTGAGACTCCAATTCAAAAAAAAAAAAAGAAAAAGCCCTCTGAGGCCTCCTGGGAACCACAGAAGTACAGCTCGGCATGTCACACATAATAAGTCAATTCCAACATCTTAGCAATTCAGTATCCTGTGTCTTCAGATATCTTCCTCTAAGGTGTACTTTGAGTATTCTGACACTTCAGTTTCATTTAAGGTGTCCTTGAACTCATCCTTAAGTTAATCAACAATCTCTAAGTGGCAGCATAAGGTACATTATTTAATACAGAATTACTGATTCGTGTACATGCACTCATATTTGGCCTGATGCAATGCTATATTGTTTTTTTTCCTGTTATAACACTCTTAGGATGCATCACTAACACATTTCTTGGGGTTTTCTTGATAAATATTTTTAAAACCTTGCACATTCTTTTGATGTGCATGGTACCTCTTCATGGTCAGAAATCTGGCAGTCTGTCAGGATTTTTGCTTGGGCATGCATGTGAAAGCAGTGAGAGGCTGACGAGGTATGTCTTGAGAAACGCTGCATTCACTAGAAAGGCACCTGCATCAGGTGAGGTCACCACAGAGGCTTCAGACAGGAGAGGCTAACCTCCTTAGACAGGGAGGAACATGCTTCCACAGCAAGGGAGGCTAAGATCTGGGAGTTCATGTTACTTATAATTATTGCAGTGTACCTCTCTATTCCATTTCTGGTCCTATTTCCTCTTGGTAAGATAAATATTTTCACATGAGACCTGGTGAGGCTATGAATGTTACTTGGTTATAACTAGCAATCTAATGTATTAACTGTTGGGTCTAGTTTTCAGGAACACAAATCCTGCACCTACAAGAGTTAAGATATGCTGCCACAAAAGTTATGGAAGTCGTTTAAAGCTGTTTCTTGCACTCAATTCTGCCAGGAAAGCAAACGACTGCCAAGCAGTGTCCTGAGGGCTGACTGAAGGAAGGAGGCTGGTGATTTCACTTTTAACTTTAGAGCTGTTCATCATTTAATTTACCTTTTTTAGTTCAAAGTCTCATTGACACTTCAGATCTGCCCAGTGTTAAAAATCCACAGTCTTTCAAAAAAATACTCAGTTCACCTTCAGCTGAGGTAGGAGAGGGTTTGGGCAGGTGGGGAAAGAAGATTTCATGGTCACACCTCCTTATTCAGCCTCCCACCTACTTCCACTTGCTTTCAGCCCCACCCTGGCTCCATGCTTGTAGGACCCCGTGTCTTAAATTCCTCAGTCTTCTCAGGGGTTTGAATATACACTGGCCTGGTGGTTCCTTTTCACCTCCTTTCATTTTTGTAGAAATGTGAGTTTGTTTTCTTTTATAGGCCTAGTCAGTCTCTACATACACATCCACTTTTTATAATATTTAAATAGACTTTCAGTATTAGAGAATAGTTGTCAATTTGCAGAAATGTTGTAAAAATAGTACAAAGAATTTCCTGCCCCACTTGCCCTATTAATAACATCTTATATTACCGTAATATACCTGTCATGATCAATGAATCAATATTAATATTAACTCAACTCCACTTAAGGGGTGGCGAGTTATATTTCATTTACTTTAAGGGAGAGTAATTTGAAATTTAATGTTATTTTATATTTTTATAAATATTTAAAAAATCTCCACCTCTTAAAAAATATATATTGTATATATTTCGTTATATATTTTAAGTGTAAATTATGTTATATATATCAAATATGTATATATAATAAATATTAATATATTTTATATATAATATATTTAAACATAAATATATTTCAATATAATACATTATATATTTATAATTTTATATAATGTATATTATATGTTTTATAAATAAATTATTTTATATTTTTATTCTATTTTTAAGTTACTTTTTATAATTTAATAAGTTATTTGACATTTTTCTGTATGAGAAATTTCTCTCTTCATTTATGTTTTTATTGAATCATTTATTTAAACAAAATGAACTTATGGATATTTTGGGTTATAATCTAACACTGTGCTTTTTGTTGTTTTGCTCAAATTGTTCTAGCACTGGCCACTGAGGGCTCTGCAGCTAGCCATTATGTCCCTACAATCCATCCCCAACACTTTGTTTTAGCAAAATACCTTCACAATATGGCTAATCATTTCTTGGTGAGGTGGTACCTGCTAGGATTTTACTCTACAGAGCTATTGTTTCCCTTTGAAATTACTAAATAATTTGGGAGGGAACTTTGAGATTATGCAAATACCCTGTTTCCACTTAACCTTTCCCCACTAGTGGTGAGTCTTGCCTACAGCAATAATAAGTTATGGAGTTCTCATGCTGACTTTCTATTTCCCTCGTCACCTCCATTATCTATTCATGAAGAGTTGTCCCTTCTCCATTTAGTTAGTTGTTCCCACCAATATGGACTCAGTATTTATTTTATCTTTTGGGTTATAATTCAAAGCTTTACTTTTTATTAGGTTATTTCAGCTTTGGCCATTGGGAGACTTTCAGGATTCTCTTTTGGCCTTTTTTTTTTTCTAATTATAAAGATGTGGGGTACAATTCAGGGTTAGGTATACAAACGTTGATTATGCAGGTACCCTTGTTGATGAGGTGTGCCCCTCCCTCCCCAGCAGTTTCCCTCAACTGCCAATCCCACCCTCCTTTACTGAAAGTTTCCTACTACGGCCAATTCCTTTCTTTTAGTATTATAATTGTTCAAGATCTGCTTATGAGTGAGAACATATGGTACTCTGTTCTTTGTTTCTGTGATAGATCACTGAGTATGATAGACTCTGTTCATCCATGTTGCTACTTGGATGGATTCCTTTTAATGTGTTCCTTTTAATATTGGATGGATTCCTTTTACTATGTTCCTTTTAATAATCCTCTTAACAATTTCCTTTTGATGTG